TAGGTTGCCAGACTTACAGCCCCCCTCCCCAAAAAAGTGCAAATCAACAACAGAAAATTGGATGTCAGATATTGAATGGGGCATACTTATACGAAAGCATTTTGCATGATTTATGCTAAGTTCGGGTTTAACGGGGCATTCTGCTGTTCTGTCTGGCAACCCCAGGCCACAGAGGTGGGCCCAGCCCCAGTCGCCTGGGGAGGTGCTTCGGGTAGGGGTTTCTCTGGGGAGTCTCCCAGCCACTTTCTCTGAGGTGGAGCAGGAGCTGCCGGGGCAGGCTCTCTCGGGGAGGCGTTGGTACTCATCTGGTGGGTCTGAGCACAGGGTTGTTAGGAAAAATCCAGAGTCGAGCGTTTTCATGTTTGGGAACCACAGAGTTCCCCTCCATCCGGGACAGAATCTTCCTCCCACCCAACACCCCCTCCAGGTTATAAATCTGGCCAAGAGCTCTGCTCTCGACTTACACAACCAACTTTTCTTTTCCTTGATGGATGAGCTCCCGGGTTTAAAAGATTACAGTAATCACAGGAGGACAGTGTAAATCGAATCTGATAGCAATAACTTTTGGGGAAGGTCAGGCTCAAGTGAAATGTTACCAAGCAACAGGCATTTTGTTTGCAAAATACAATCAAAGAGCATTGATGAGAAATTCTTTGCTGCAGTCAGTCAGCACTTTCTGCTAACAGCTTTACAGAGGGAAAGGGAGTAAATCTTCATAAATCAAGATCCCTGGAGGACTTGGAGCCTCTTTCTGGAAATGTTGCACTTCTTCCTGACAGGAGGCGGACAGAACAAGAAAACCTATTCACCTGCCTGCCTCTCCTTTCCCTCTCTTCTCTTCCTTCTCTCCTGCTCTTTTCCTTTCTTTGGCTTTTTAACCTGTTGTGGCCCCTCAACCATTAGTCCCTCAGGTCCCTGAGCCCCATGTTTAGTGCTGATGAGGCTCTGGTGGCACGGTGGGCCTTGCACTGCAGTTTGCATGGGTGCTCACTTGTGGCAGAGGTTGGGGTCTGAGTGGTGGACCGATGGTAATCCAGGCCCATCACCTTGGGATCTCGTCACATCCCTCCCCGAGAGTCCCACATGGCTTTAGTGAGTCACTCTCTTGTCTGAACACTGCAGACTACTGCTCTCTGAAGAAACTAAGGGTAGCTAAAACATAACTAGGATTTTTTTTGCATTTTATTATACAGCTAAACAGCTGTAAAAAATTAAGCACAACCACTGAATAACAATATTACAGAAAACTTAACATTCAGAATATCAGGGTTTTTTTTTAATTGAATCTCTGCTCTTGTTTGGTTTCAGTGACTAGGCAAACAGATTTTACAAAGCTGGGATCAATGTTCTGCTTTTGTGTCCCACTGATTATTACTTAGTTGAGTTCAGTGTATGTTCTACCCATAGCCTTTATATGTGACTGTTTACAAAAATATTCCCTCCCAAGAATACACCAGTCTGCCCAGCTGCTGGCCTTTGGGTTCCTTGCTGTGTTTCAATGTAAAATATGACTCAGTGCACAGATAACTTGAAAATTTTGCAAAATATTAGCTAGTAAATTGTAAGGCTCTCAGTAGCCAAGAGGCAAATGCTTTGATCATCTCTGTATAATCTTACCTAGCACAGTGCATGGGCACAGAGTGAAGGATTTGATAATGTTTGTTAAGTAGATGGATGAATGAGTAGCCAGCTCCATTTTTGTAAGTACCAAATATACATGTAGAGTGAATTTCCCTCCTGCTTCTGAAAAGCATTCCTTTCAGAGTCAAGAAAGAGATCAAAACTAAATTTTTGCTGGA